AAAACAGCAAGGATATAGGATATAAAGGATCTGAATAAACAAGCTCAGTTTTATCTATAAGTTTATACCTATAAATGTAAAGATACATGTTAAACTATATCTGTGTTGTATTTTCCAAAAAATTACGTCTTGCCTAAAAGGAAAACTTCAAAAATTCCAAAAAAAAAAAAAAAAAAAAAAAAAGTAGAGGTTATACAGGCCATACTTTGAACTCAAACCAACAAAACTAGAGATCAAGGCTAAAGGGATTAATAAAAATGTGTACTACTTGAAAGTTAAACTCTACTGTAAATAGGAAATCAAAACAGATGTAAAACTATCTAGAATACAAAAAAGGACAACTCATATACAGTGGCCTATAGCTAAAGTTGTATACCAAAGGAAATACACAGGTTTCAAGGATTTCCTTTAAAAATAAATGAAAATTAATGAAATATGAAACATCAGACATTTTGATTAGACAGTAAAATATACCAGAAGAAAATAGGAAAAGAAAATAAGCCAGGCACGGTGGCTCACACCTGTAATCCTAACACTTTGGGAGGGGGATGAATGTGGATCGCTTGAGTTCAGGAGTTTGAGACCAGCCTGGGCAACATGATAAGACCCTGTCTCTACCAAAAAAATACAAAAATTAGCTGGGCATGCTGGTGCGTGCCTGTGGTCCCAGCTACTCAGGAGGCTAAGGTGGGAGGATCACTTGAGCCCAGGAGGTCAAGGCTGCAGTGAGCTGTGATCACACCACTGTACTCTAGCCTTGGCAACAGAGTGAGACATTGTCTAAAAAAAAAAATAATAATAATAACAATGAAAGATAAAATTAAGTAGAACACCAAAAAACATAAAGAATAAAAGAGCAGTTTCTTTGACACTACCTATGAAATAGCAAAACCTCTGAAAGCCACTTAAAGAAATATGAGCCAGGCACAGTGGCTCACACCTGTAATCCCAGCCCTTTAGGAGGCTGAGGCAGGTGGATCACCTGAGGTCAGGAGTTCGAGACCAGCCTGGCCAACATGATGAAACATCATATCTGCTAAAAATACAAAAATTAGCCAGGCATGTTGGCATGTGCCTGTAATCCCAGCTACTCTGGAGGCTGAGGCAGGAGAATTGCTTGAAGCTGGGAGGCAGAGGTTGCAGTGAGCTGAGATCACACCACTGCACTCCAGCCTGGGCGACAAAGCAAGACTCCATCTCAAAAAAGAAAAAGAAAAAGAAAAGAAATATGACAGCAAACAAAACATGTAATATTTAAGATGAGAAAGGAGATGCAACCAGAAATGCAAGAGAATAAAATGAGACTGTTAAATAATAAGAAAATACTGTATATCTATGGCAATAAACTGCAAATCTAGAAGAATGGTTCAAATCTTGGCTACACATTGTAATCACCTGAGGAACTTGAAAAATTACTGTCTGAGACCCATTCCCACCTGACTCTGGGAAGTTCAAAGGCTGCCCCGTTTGATTTTATGACCGAAATTGAGAACCACTGAATTCTTAGAGGGCTTGGACTGCGTGGTCCATGGACCACAGCATCAGTATCACCAGGGAGCTTGCAGGAAGTGCACAATCACAAGCCCCACTCTAGACTCACTGAATCAGAATGAGCATTTTCACAATATCCCCCAGATGATGCATATGCACATTAATACATGAGAAGTATTGATCTAGAGAAAATGGATGATTTTCAAAAATACCAGATCTTAAGAAGAAAAGCTGATGGGCTAATTAATGTAGAAGAGATCAGAAAAGTCAAGGCCTCCCATTTTATTTTATTGATTGATTGAGATGAAGTTTTGCTCTTGTTGCCCAGGCTGGAGTGCAATGGCGTGATCTTGGCTCACTGCAATGCGGCCCAGGTTCCCAGGTTCAAACAATTCTCCTGCCTCAGCCTCTTGGAGAGTAGCCGGGACCACGGGCCCACCACCACGCCCAGCTAATTTTTGTATTTTTAGTAGAGGCAGCATTTCACCATGTTGGCCAGGCTGGTCTCCAACTCCTGACCTCAAGTGATCCGCCCTCTAAGTGCTGGGATTACAGGCGTGCGCCACGGCCGCCTGGCCCCAAGACCTACCGTTTATAAAGAGGCATCAGACCCAAATGCTTTCACAACTGAGTTCTATCTAATCTTCAGGGATTAGATAATGCTTCTAGTTTTTAAACTGTTGGAGATTGTAGAAAAGTTTCCAAGTTTATTTTTTAGAGTTGAGTTAAATTAATATGCAAACTAATTAGTATTAGTCTTGGCCAGGGGTGGTGGCTCACGCCTGTAATCCCAGCACTTTGGGAGGCCGAAGCGGGCGGATACCTGAGGTCAGGAGTTCAAGACCACCCTGGCCAACATGGTGAAACCCCGTCTCTACTAAAAATACAAAAATCAGCTGGGTGTGGTGGAGCATGCCTGTAATCCCAGCTATTCGGGAGGCTGAGGCAGGAGAATCGTCTGAGTTCAGGAGGTGGAGGTTGCAGTGAGCCGAGATCTCGCCACTGCACTCAAGCCTGGGCAACAGAGTGAGACTCCGTCTCAAAAAAACAAACAAAAAAATGCATGTGTTCTGAATTTAAAATCCCAATGAGGCTTTTAAGGGAAACTGGGTAAAATGATTTTCATGTTCCTATGGAATAAGGGTCAAGAAAACTATGAAAAAGAACTAAAGAGGGACTTGCCTTCTGGTTCACCAGGGTACTGTGAGAAAAACAATATGGCATTGGCACAAGAATGACAAACAGACCAGTAAAACAAAATAGACTTCAGAAATAAATCCAAGGATATATATGATACCACATAAAGTGTCATTTCAGCTCATGAGGGTAAAGGGTGACTTACTTAACAAACAGTACTGGAATAGGTGGCTCTCTATCCAAGAGAAAACAGAAATTAGATGCCCTACCAAACAATATATTTTTAAAAAATTTTTTTGAAATGGGGTCTCACTCTGTCACCTAGGCTGGAGTACAGTGGCACGATCATAGTTCACCATAGCCTTGAATTCCTGGGCTCAAGCTATCTTCCCACTTCAGTCTCCAGAGTAGCTGGGACAACAGGTGCATGCCACCTTGCCCAGGTATTTTTTTTTTTTCAAAATAATTTTTAAAATCACCGTTGGATCTGCTAAACTAAATAATTTTAATTACATAAAAATCCAAACAAAACAATAAAAATATAGGAAGAAAATCTAGGCATATATTTGTAGAACCTTGCAGTAGAAAATAACTTTTTAAGCAGAACAAGAAACACCAGGAATCACAAAGGGAAAAAAAAAAAACATTTGATTACACAAATATTAAAGATTTTTATATATGAAAAGATTACATAAGCAATAAGATAAATCATGGACTACAAAAATGTGCAGCAAATGTATTAGAAAGTTAATAGGCTTAATGTACAAAGAATTCCAAATAGAAAATGGGGCACAGGATTTGAACAGTCAATTTATCAGAGCGACAACTTAAAGTGCTATTATATATATAAAAGTATTAAACTCCGCTAGGAGTCACGTCAAAGCAAATTGAAACAGCGATGACATAGTCTTTATTTTTTTAACCTGTGAGATTAGCTGTAACACTCACTGTTTGAAAGGCTGAGGGGAACAAACTCTCCCATATACTGGTGTAGACACATGAATTACATTTGATGTTTGAAAAGAAAATCCCTGAACCCAGAATAGAATTGATATTGTGGTTACAAGACAGATCAAAGATTTATGTGTATGGACTAAGATTAGAAGAGAACAAAGACAAGCAATCCCTTTAATAAAGGTGGTGGCCTTGTGGATTATGATTTTCCCAATTTTTGTTACAAAAGCATGCAATAAAAATAACTTGGAAGATTTCCATCTTTGTATAGTAAGTACATTCGCCCTTTAAAAATTAATTTTCTGAAGAACAACCAAAGCATACTGCCTTGAGAGAGAAAGGAACTTTAGAAGGTCTGCCACAACCACCACTTCAAGGGGGAACAGTAAAAATCAATAAAAGTGGACATAAACATGCAAGGCTAATGGGGAAAACCTCACATGTTGCTAGTGTGCCAGTGCCAGAGGGCAATCCAGAATTGGACTAACCTTTATTAGGATGACGTAAGGGAACTCTTCTCCCCCTTTTCCTGTGTCCTAGCCTGGGAGGGCTGGAGTAGATGCTCCCTTTCTCTGATGAGAGAACTAGTCTCCTGATAGCTCACAAAGGAGTGGAAGGTAGGCCCCACACCTTCAAATGACTGGCTACATCAGTCAAGGCCTACATTGGAGGGAAATAGATTGGAAACAAGCTCATCTCAGCCTCTGGGTCTCCCAGTCCAGCCTTACTAGAATAAATCACACACCTAATTGGTGGTTTCTGGTCTATTTTCAATGTGGTTGGAACTCAAGAGGGGAGGACAGATGACTAGAACCTTCAAAACCCCAACAGATGGCTTTGCAATACCTCTCTTATTTCAAATAATCTCAGACAAAAGGAAATGGGTTCTGCATTTAAAAGCAGAAACTGGCCTCTTAAAAAGCAAAATAATATAGGTCTAGTTAACTATTCTATAATTTTAGTCGATGTGTTTAGATACTTCTGTGGTAGTTCACATAGCCAAACGACATCGAGAAGTCCTGAGCAAGTTTTCAGTAGCCAAGTCTCCTAGTGGCTTTACAGTCTCAACAGGTCACTGTAATGCCAGATCCTTTGTGTCCACCAATACCAGCAATACAAGTAACATGGGAGACCAACTGAATAGGAAAAACCAAGTAAAGGAAAGTAATTCTTGATTTTGACCTCAAACTTGATGGACTGAGCATTTCCATCAGAGGTCAGAACATGATTTTGAAATCCAAGTTGGTACAGATGCTACGCCTATATGCACCAGTGATATGTTCCTTGGTGCTATTATTAGTGTTGAACTACTGAAGGGAGTCGAATCACCTCTAGCAAGTTGGGAATTCATGAACTGTGTGATTTAAATCTCCTCATTTCGAGTGTATACCTTGTCTATAGCCAACACTCCACTAGGGTAACTTAAAACAAAATAGTAATTTATTTACAATAGTAAAGATGTCAAAAATAACAGGAACAATATATAACAAATCCAAGATTTTTATGAAAAAGGCAAACAATATATACACGAAACCAAAGATGAAACAAAATCCATAGGGTAAACTTAATTTGACCTTAACAGTTACAGAATGTGGCAAAATGGTTTTTTTTATTATGATTTACTTAAGTAACTCTGGGCCAATTACACACACACACCCACACCCACCCACACAATCTTTTTCAGCCCTTCTCTTTTAAATGCTGAATCTTCCTCTGAACTCAATTTACCTTTGAGGAATGTAACTATGGGAGGTCACACAAGATTTAGGAAGTGCAGGCTATTTACATGTGCGCTAAAGGTATACTTGTTGACTTGGCAGGCTTACACTTTTAAAACAGCAAACGGAAAGTATCAACTGTCTGGGTCCTATTTTTCTCTCACTGTTCATTTCTGATTTTTTGTCATTTTCTTATCTACCACACAAATGTTGAACTAGTCATCTTTTAGGTTCCTCAAGTGCTCTAAAAGTGTTTCCCAAGTTTGAACAGGCATCAGAATCACCTGGAGAACAAGTTAAAACAAAGATCGCTGGGTCCCACGCCAGTTTCCCAATTCAGTAGGACTAGGGTGGGGCTGAGAATTTGCATCTTTAACAAAGTCCCAGGAAATTAAGACGCTGCCAATGCTGCCCGGCCACACTTTGAAAACCACTGCTCTGAAAGACTGTCCCTTTAAGATACTGATTGGCCATGTTTTTCCTTACATGAATGCTAGAATTTGTGGGAAATGAAATTGTTAATACTGGGATTCCCAGAGAATACAGCAGCACGTTATCTGACTTGTTGGATCACAGACAGGTTAGGTGTCATTTGTTAGGTGTTCCATTACAAGTTTTTCAGCATGCTATGGTTTTGTCTGATTTATGGCTCTGGACAGTGACATTCTTCACATTCCCTTCGTTATTTACTTAAACGTTTGATTTATTGTTTCAACTATTAGGCAAACATTTGTTTGTTCATACAGTCGGAAGAACTGCAGAATGTTGTCTATAAAATCAAAGATGGCACAACTCTATCTCTTTTGACTCCTGACATTTACTTAACTGCCGATTTTTAACTGTGGCAATGACCATTCTCTAGTATGTTAGCATCTACTAGAGTCCTCTAAACTGGGCACCAAGTGGTAACTCGAGGGCACGATTTCTGCTGTGGAGGTGGTAACAGTACCCACTGATTAAATATGCTGTAAATTAATACTGAAATGAACTTTATTAAGTGCTCTCAAAAACCACTTTATGCATGGGTAATTTATCTCAGGGGAACTGGAGATGCTAATAAAACAAATCCTTTATGAAGATAAAAGAAAAACTGAATTCCAAGGACATGCTCATCAAAGGACTCACCAATCACCTCTTAACTTCTCTATTACTTGCAAATTCACAGAACTGAAATGTTACCAGTATTTGCATCCAAGTCACAAAATTCAAAGCAATCAAGCACTTTGCATTCCACTGCTGTGAAAAAGGAATTAAGAAATGGGGGGATGAAAATAATCCACTGCTTTTGATGTTTATTAGGTTTACAAAAACTGTACATTTTTTTTTCCTTAAGAAAAAGCATTAACTTAGTACTGGTATCAAATAGACTAAACATTCAATAACAGGAAAATATTCTGATTTTTATTTTTGCACGTTATTCTCAAGTACACAATTACAATAATGTCACACATCCCTATATGATTTTCTTTTTATGTATTTTACTTTCTTTACAAAGTGTACAGAGGGAGGGACATACAATATTTAATAGGATATTTCTACAGAACAATAACTTATATTATGTCCTTGTAAAAATCTGTACCTCTTTAAAACATTTAACTGAAACATCCATTTTTTTAGCTTTGCTAATCAAAATTGTTTTAAGAATTAAAACTAGGTTGTAACTAATGTCAGTACATAACAGTGACTACGATTTCATTTTCTCTTTATACAGACAAATGTTTTATCATATTCACTTGACCAAACCCTTAAATACCTTTTAAAGGTTTTAATATTGTGCTTTAAAAAGAAAAGAACTGTGTATGATTCCAGAGTATGTAAGAGAAATATAAAATGTGTGAAGTGTTGTGTTCTTTATCTTTCAGTTTATTTAAAAAAAAAGACCCAATCATTTATATTTTCTGTATTAATTTTATAGGATTTAAAATTAATACATTTCCACTTTCATTTAAGTGTTTTTACATTATTTCTGGGAAAATAAAAATTAAGGGAGATTTTAAAGGTTCTCACAAAAAAACAGACAGAGCTTTCAAGAATCGCAGGGCAATGAATCACGGATCACAAAATTGTAAGTTACTTTAAAAAAAAAAACACATTATAGGGGCCAAGAAGGTACAGGAATTTCCTATAAGATAGGCTAGGAAAACCCATGCCTTGACTTTGATTGGCATTTGGGCTAGAGTTCACACCTGCCTAAAGCACTTGATTTAAAACTAAATCAGTCTAGCACTTCAGGTTTGCCAAACACCAAATATTTTTATTTCTAACCCTAAAAATGTAACTCTTGAATACAAACATCAATGGCAAAGAGAAAGATGAAAGGTAAAAACCTAAGTACACAGGGGACGGAGCACCATAATGAGGTGGCAAGGCAGCTATCGGGTGGGAAGACAATTTCTAAATATCCTACAATGTGCTAGATGCACATGGACCAATAGCCAACTGAAGGGACCCCAAAAACTGTTTTCTGTTCTCCAAGATTCGTCTTAACACAACCAAGTTCTAATTAACCGAGTTTGTTTTATGACTGTATGACACTGATTCAGACCTATGTGGTGTCTAAGCATGGTGGCTCACGCCTGTAATCCCAGCACTTTGGAACGCCGAGGCAGGTGGATCACGAGGTCAGGGTTCAAGACCAGCCTGGCCAAGATAGTGAAACCCCATCTCTACTAAAAATACAAAAAATTAGCCAGGCGTGGTGGCAGGCGCCTGTAATCCCAGCTACTTGAGAGGCTGAGGCAGATAATTGCTTGACCCCAGGAAGCAGAGGTTGCAGTGAGCCAAGATCATGCCACTGCAGTCCAGCCTGGGCAACAGAGCGAGACTCCATCTTAAAAAAAAAAAAAACAAACAAACAAAAACAACAACAAAAAAAAAACCACCTTTGGAAGACTTAGTGATGTTCCAAATAAGGCCTCAGACTTTCCTTATCTACTTTAAAACACATCTTTACGTTTTAATCAAAGCCAACTTGAGTGTTAAGTTTTTAAAGTTTGCTAACTGTAACTGTCTGAGAAATACCAGATCGGCCTGAACTTGCCGAGTGTGATGCCATAATTAGCACCTGTTCTCTGGTCCACAGAGCCATCGCTTCTTTTCCATCCCTCTCACTAGGTAAGACAGAGTTCCCTCTCGGGCTTCTCAAAGAGAACTGTGGGAGTCATGTCTGGATACTCATTTGCTTTTCAGAAAAATATAAAGACATGGAGCTGAAACTGTATGAAAACATTCTACCTAGAAACATCTTAACCTCTATTTTTCAATTACCAAAGATATTTAAAAGAAAATATCTTTACTCTTTAAAAATACTAGTGTCCTTATTTTCCTTCTAATTCTTCACCTGAGTAATCTCTCTGAAGAGCATGACTTACAAAATGCTCTCTCATGCATCCCTGGATCTTTCATGTTATTGTAAATTTAATACTTTTCATTATAGATTTTAAACAACTACTGTAACTTGGGGTTGTGTGTATAAATATATAAAATAAGCAATACACACAGGTACATGATATATATGTGTATATATATAATTCGGGGTACATTTACATACATAAAGTTGCAAAAGATCCTATAAGCCATGAGTTACCTCTAGGAGATTCCAAAATGCAGTCCTCAGTAAATGTCATTTGTAGCACAAAACCATTCCAAGACGAAGCCGCACAGACAGAATAATCAAAATACAACATGATCAAGCATAATTTTTCAATAAGATTTTCTAAAAGTTTGCTATGCTGACAAAAGATGTAAATAATCCAAAGAAAACCAAAAGTAATATATTTGAAAAGTAAACACGAACCCAGCCACTGCTCTTAAGCAAAGCCAGGGACGCAAAAGCTCAAATGGAAACTTTCACTGTCAAGTGGTCTGAAAATATTAAGTAAATGACTTCCATGTTATGATAATTAGACCTGACTGTAAAATCTCCCATTTATATTAGTAGATGTCTCTGACAATTTTATTGTGAGAAATGTATGGGGAAGGAAAATGAGTCAACATGAATACTTTCAGAGTTACCAATATAAAGTTACCTTAAGTTAATGGTCTTAGAAGAGTACCATCAAGGTAAGCAAGGTAAATATTTAAATAAATATAAAATTCTAAGATATAAAAATTCGGTATAGAATCAGGGATTACTTTATTAAAAGTAACTAGCATGTTGCCAGTTTTCCCCATTTATTAAACAAACTGAATAGAATTCAGAACACACTACTGAACAAAATGTATATTAAAAAAAGTCAACTAGAAGCAATAATTCTATTTGTACACAGCATAAATCAATATACAGTATTGTATGTGAACGAGACTGATTGGCTTTAAAATGAATTTTCTGCTTCAAGGCCAATATCTCTACAAACGTCTGTAGAAGTATTGTTAGGGCAGGCCAACTTCTTTATGATGTCTCATTATGTGCTGGTTCTTTTCTGAAGGTCTTCGGAAGCCTTTCTTGCAGTACTCACACCGGTGAGGATAGTCTTTTGTGTGAATGGAAATAACGTGCCGTTTAAAGCCTGAGGCATCTGTAGTGCTATACTCACAGTACTCACACTGATACACTTTCCTGCCACTGTGTGTCTTCATATGCTTTTTAAGCTCATTCTGTTGCCTAAATCCCTTTCTACATCTCTTGCACCTAAATGGAAGATCCTTTGTGTGAACTGAGAGAATATGGCGACTTAGAACAAACGGATCTGCAATCTTAAAGTCACAATGTCTACACTGGTGCATTTTTTTGCCCTTGTGGGCAGCCACGTGTTTCTTGAGTTCTGAAGGCCTATGAAAGCCTTTATCACACATGTCACACTTATGGGGGTAGTCTTTCGTGTGAACTGAAATTATGTGTCGTTTCAAATCACTTGAGTTCGAACTCTTGTGGTCGCAATGCAAACACTGGTGTGTTTTGCTTTCTTGGTGGATAAGAGCATGTTGCTGCACCTCTTTGGTATCCGAGAAAGTCAGAAGACAAATGTCACACTTGAATGGCATCTCTTTACTATGCTTAGTTTTGACATGCGTTTTCAAGTTAGAAGAGTCTGCAGACCTATATTCGCAGTACTGGCATTGGTACGGCTTCTCCCCAGTATGGATTCTCATGTGCTTTTTGAGCTCTGAGGGGTGACGAAAACCCTTACCACACTCCACACAAATATGAGGAAAGTTCTTGCTGTGGACCGCCAAGAGGTGGCGATTCAGTAACCCTTGTTCAGCTGTCTCGTATTCACAGAATTTACACTTGTGCATTTTGTTGGCTCCTTTTTCCTTATGCACCATTTTGTGAGTAAACAAAGCCCCTGCATGAGAGAAATGCTTCCCACACTCATCGCATTCTATGGCCTTCTCTGCCTTGCTGGTCAGCTTGTGGCTCTCCAGGTGGTTGTGTAAACTTATCTTCTTGTTGGTAGTGTAATCACAGTCAGTACAGCGGTATTTCTTCTTGGCAAGGTGTTCGGGATGGTTTTTCATGTGCCTTTTCAAAAAACCTCTCGACTTAAACTTCTTCCCACAAATCATGCAAGGATAGACAGTCAAAGGATGTCCATCAGGGCCAATAATTATTGCTAAGAAAGGAAAAGAAAGGAGTATGAGTGCTCAAACCAAGTTCTGTTCCAGTTTCTTTGCGAATGTAAAGTGTGGTTTCTGACCACTGTTGGCCAAGGACTCCTAAATTGGACTATTTGCTACTTAACATTCCTTTTACTGTTTTTCAACACAAGAGATATAGCAACCTAGTCATAGAGAAAATGGTCTGGAAACTTCATTCATGAGGACTGTACCACCTTCACTCCCTCTAGTTTAATAAAATTAATGAATATGTAACTTTTATCAATTAGTGATTAAACCTACAGCAATTTAGAAATTGGTGGAAAACTGGCTGGGCATGGTGGCTCAGGCCTGTAATCCCAGCACTTTGGGAGGCCGAGGCAGGCAGATCCCCTGAACTCAGGAGTTCGAGACCAGCCTGACCAACATAACATGCTGAAAACCCGTCTCTATTAAAAATATGAAAATGAGTGGGGCACAGTGGCACACATCTGTAATCCCAGCCACTTGGAAGGCTGAGGCAGGAGAATCACTTGTACCCAGGAGGCAGAGGTTGCAGTGTGAGTTGAGATCATGCCACTGCACTCCAGCCTGGGTGAGAGAGCAAGATTCTGCCTCAAAAAAAAATAAACTGGTGGAAAATTATTCATAAAAATAAACTTTGGTGACAAAAATTTCCACTGTTTATTCCAAAAAACATAACTTACATTAACTTACAGCAAAGTTTAAACCCATAAAATTTTTAATACGCAAATCATCATACAAGAATAGGAATGTCGTATGAACTAAAGTACTTATCCTGCTGCTCTGTAAATTATGCCTGCTTTATGCTGACATAGATTCTCTATATTTACAAAGTTAATGCTTATAACATATTTGAGGGATTTCATTCCATGTACACATAAAAATCATCCAAGTTTTGAATTTTTCTCATCCATGTTTCTCAGTCATGTACTGTTTTTCTTTTTATCTAAGGAAATCATTCATGAATATCACTGAATTCTGAAAATTATATTTTCAAGTTCAAGAGACAAAGCTACATATGGTCTAGCAGCTAAAATGCCATTGTGACACCCCTGTGGATACATACTAGAGCTTCCTCTGAGAGCACGCTGCGCCATGGAACTCGTGCGCCCTCACCTGTTTGGTACTGCCTGGAATCAGGTCTTCTCCTTTTCTTTGGTTTTTGTTTAGCCAGTCTGCCGAGGCCAGCAGACTCATCTATGTGCAAGAGGGCACTTGCAGTGCCATTCCGGTTTTCAATTCCATCAGAATTATTACCTAACAATGTGTATTAAAAAACAAAATTATACAGTATTATAAATTTTAAAGAATTAGGAATTCTTTATTAACTACAACAACGAAAAGTAAGCCATGATACTCATGAATGACAGAAATTCCCCATTCTAGGTCATGGGTTTTATGAGCACATTTATTATCGTGAGACCGCAGGAAACGCCTAGCTTCCAAAGCTAAAAAACGCATGTCAGCAGTTTTGCCCCATGGACGCCCTTGTCTCCCAAAATGAAAAAGTCATGGGCCAAATATAATCAAGATGAAAACTTTCAGCTTGAAAGCCTGTGTACTTCTTGCAGTACTTCCTTCTACATAATATACACATGAAGGAAATTCCTGTCAAAAATAAACACAAAATGTAGACTTTATACTCTAATTCAATTCAAATAATCCTTACAGGACACTGGTATTTCAGACTTCTGAAACCTAAGACTACAGAAACCATTTTTCAATCATGGATTCATGTTCAAGAACCAACTTCTTCAATGCTAAGAGGTGCTGGGCAACTTACCATAAGCTGCTGCCCATGCTATCGGCATGAAGGTTTTGATTTCATTGTCGTCCATTTGCTGCTCATGCACAGCAGCGGCTGCCGCTGCTGCCGCAGCATCCTCCTCTCCTACAATCACTTCCATATAAACTTCGTCAGCAATTTCAGCAACATCTAAGTAAAGGAGAAAGTTACAAAAACTTCTGTGACCAGGTTTACAGAAATTACAGGAAACATGTTTTTATTTGAATTCAGTTAATAGACAAAATGGAAAGAAGGTCCAAATATTACATACCTAGAACATAGCTTTCACGTAGTAAACACTCAATAAATATTTGTTGAATGAATCATTCACTTCTTGGCTTTCACCATAACTTGGTTTTAAAGCAACATTATAAGCATACATAAAAGAGTCACTGATGTTTCCCTTGGAATGCAGTAGCATAATCATCTCTAAAATAATGCTACTTATTTCAAACGCTGGTCACTTAAAAGCTCCAGAAACATAAAATTTTCTCCCACAAAAAGGCCACCTACTTACTTAAATCTTCATCTTCTGGCTGAGAGTCATTGACAGTCATATAAACCATCTTTTCCCTGGGCACACGAATACTGCTGTTCTGATCAAGCAGTTCAACTCCATGATCATTCTCAGGCTCACTCTCCACAATGTCTACAGTTCCACCTATCCGAGAAGAAGACAGCTTCAATAATTTATTTGAAAACTTCATTTCCATCTATTTCTTTTTACATACTTTTCTTATTACTTTTTACAAACTTTGCTATTACGACATTGGAATTCTTATACAAAAGTTACTTCAGAAAAGATTCCAAATGTTCTCAATCTAAATAACCCAAAAGTAATCAGGCTGAAACATTTGGATGAGGATGTACAATGTCTAAACACTTCTTCTTACCTAAGTCATCTTCTCCAGGGTCAGCTTTAAAAATGTACACCTTGATGACTTCAGGGCAAGTGCCATCCACTTTACAAGGATCAATTTCCGACTCTGTGTCCATGGTCATTCCAGAAGAACCGTCGTGTTCTATTTTGCCAGCATCATCCACTAAAAAGGAAGGAAATAAATCACAAATAATAATAGATATTTAAATAAAATGTTACTATTTGCAAAAAAAAAAAAAAATTTTTTTTTTTTTTTGAGATGGAGTCTCACTCTGTCACCCAGGCTGGAGTGCAGTGGTGCGATCTCAGCTCACTGCAACCTCTGCCTCCTGGGTTCAAGCGATTCTCCTGCCTCAGCCTCCTCAGTAGCTGGGACTACACGCGCCCACCACCACGCCTGGCTAATTTTTTGTATTTTTAGTAGAGACGGGGTTTCACTGTGTTTTCCTAATCCACCCGCCTCGGCCTCCCAAAATGCTGGGTTATAGGCGTGAGCCACTGCGCCCGGCAAAAGTTCTTTTACAAATATAATCTCTGGCCGGGCGCGGTGGCTCAAGCCTGTAATCCCAGCACTTTGGGAGGCCGAGACGGGCGGATCACGAGGTCAGGAGATCGAGACCATCCTGGCTAACACGGTGAAACCCCGTCTCTACTAAAAAATACAAAAAACTAGCCGGGCGAGGTGGCGGGCGCCTGTAGTCCCAGCTACTCGGGAGGCTGAGGCAGGAGAATGGCGTGAACCCGGGAGGCGGAGCTTGCAGTGAGCCGAGATCCAGCCACTGAGCTCCAACCTGGGCGACAGAGCGAGACTCTGTCTCAAAAAAAAGAAAAAAAAAAAAAAAAAATAATCTCTAACTTGATTCACGTAAAATTGGATTTTACCTAGACAAGTAAAAGATTCAATAAATACATTTCTAAAGACTTCTAAAAACAGAAGATATTAAAGCAAAAAATACTATACATAGAGAAAACTACTGGTAGCCTAGAAAACTGTAAATACAAAAGAATATACTTATAGCCTTTGCTAAGCCATAAGGTAAAAGCACTCCTATATTAAAGATATTCTTCTAATACTAAAATCTTCAAAGAACTAGCCAGGTGCAGTGGCTCATGCCTGTAATCCCAGCACTTTGGGAGGCCAAGGTGGGTGGATCACTTGAGGCCAGGAGTTTGAGACCAGGCTGGGCACCATGGCAAGACCCCCATCTTTACCAAAAAAAAAAAAAAAATTTTTTATATATATATATATATTTTATATATATATATAATTTTTTTTTAAACACATACAGGCTATTATACCTTCTTTAATGAGAGCAATGGGTGTATGAGAATATGTTTAAATTCACGTATTGCTGTATTTGCCACCAAGGACCTAGACTCACTATTGTCATAAACTAAAATTGTGTGTGTACGTTATACGTATTTACATTTAAGCAGATTGAAGTTGAATTTCCGTTGGCCATCTCATTGCAGTGTACCTTTCTGGAAATCATGTTTTGATTATTTTCAAATGTATTATTCTATTGGAGACAGATCATATCAAATGATACTCAAGAATATATATATGTGTGTGTGTGTGTGTGCATATATATATGTATATATATAAAAAAAAAACTGGGCATGGTGGCACGTGCCTGTAGTCCCAGCTACTCAGGAGGCTGAGGTGGGAGAATCACACAAGCCTGGGAGGTCAAGGTTACAGTGAGCCAAGATAATGCCACTGCACTCCAGCCTGGGTTACAGAGTGAGACCCTGTCTCAAAACAACAACAACAAAAAACTTAGAATGTCCTAGAAGTAAAATCAAGAAATAGTCTTCATATATAAATATTTTATAAGCAGTACTTCATGGTCACTATTCTTGAGTATCATTCGATATGATCTATCCCCAATAGAACAATACATTTGAAAATAATCAAAACATGATCGCCAGAAAGGTACACTGCAATGAGATGGTCAACGGAAATTCAGCTTCAATCTGCTTAAATGTAAATACACATAACATACACACACAACTTTAGTTTATGACAATAGTGAGTCTAGGTCCTTGGTGGCAAATGCAGCAATATCTGAATTTAAACATATTCTCATACACCCATTGCTCTCATTAATGAAGGTATAATAGCCTGTATGTGTTAAAAAAAAAAAAATGAACAAATGAAAGAGAGACACAGAGGGGGATAAAAAGAGAAAAAAAAAAAGATACATATGACTTCCAATAGTAGAGACTCGGGGGATATACAACAAACATCACATTTATTTATTTATATTTTATTTTTATTTATTTATTTATTTTGAAACAGAGTCTCTGTTATCCAGGCTGGAGTGCAGTAGCACAATCTTGGTTAATTCTGCCTCCTGGGTTTAAGCAATTCTCCTGCCTCAGTCTCCCAAGAAGCTGGGATTACAGACGCCGGCCACCACACCCAGCTAATTTTTGTATTTTTAGTAGAGATGGGGTTTCACCATGGTGGTCAGGCTGGTCTCAAATTCCTGACCTCAAGTGATCCACCCACCTCGGCCTCCCAAAGCGCTGGGATTATAGGCATGAGCCACCATGCCCAGTCCAACATCACATTTTTTAAAACTTTACAAAGTAGCCAAGAAAGTAAGTGTCCTGTTATTCACAGGACCTGGAAAATAAAGCTGCAAAAAATGGTGTCTTCAAATAACAGACTCTGGATTTGAATAAATACCAACCAAAAGCATAATCCCCATATAATGTAGCCTTACATTACACGTCCCTTATGGGCACTGACTGCTATCTCTAGGTCAATAAAAAGTGTAGCAAAGACTAATGAAAAGTTAGCACCCAATACAATTTAATTTATCACAAAAGTTGGGTTTTTCAATGTTGAGTCCATTAGTGAAACTCTGAAGGAATGTTCTCTCTGCTCTAGGCCCAGCTGGCCTATCTGGCATAGTGGAAGACCAACTAGAGGGGAGCAGGACTGAGGCCCAGAAAAGAAGGCTCATTGAGCTTGTTTGTAATACCTGCAACAAGCCTTTTCATTTCCCCTTTGCCCTTTTAGTTCCCTTTCTGGTGTTCCTCTGCTAGATCTGTTTTCCTTTTGGATGGACATTGTTTTATTCAGTTCAGCAAACAGTGAATCACAACTACATTAGACTCTAGGCAGGTATTGGAGATGCAAATATGAAAAAGTCAAGGGCTCCAGAAATTTACAGTCTTGTGGCAAAGTGGACAAGTAAACAGGTGGGTATTTTTAAATGTAGTAATAATAACGCAGCTACCATTTACTAAGTGATTATGGTAAGTACTACTTAATACTTACAACAACCCTGTGAGGCAGATGGTACAATATTCTCTACATTTTACAGTAGAGTAAACTGAAGTTTAGAGAGGTTGAGTAACTTATCTGGAGTCACACAATTCACATCTCAAGCTACGCTGGTCCCAGTCAGGGCTTGTCAACTTCTGGAATTTGGAGCATGGGGTTTAAATTGGTAGAGGCAACTGTGATTTTTGAAAAATTAAAAAACAGTGTAACTATCTAAACATGCTTTCTTTTAGTGGAAAACGAATGAATGTGCTCATGACTCAGGCAGGCATAATTAGTATTGCAACCAAGGCTAGGTGGTGGTGATTCTGACCACTATAACTTTTAACATTCACAGTCATCCCTTGTGTAATTTATACCCGTTATACCAAGACAGAACTCAGATTCTGACATCTTTGAAATGATACTTCTGCAAAGTTCTGTCACAGTCTCCATCAGCTCCAAAAACTCTGTTTACCTAATCAAAATTCTTACACAGAACATCAAGATGAATCTACTATCTCAAAAGCCAACATTAAAAAACAAAAATACAGTGACAAATTATCAACTTAACTTCTGACTTATTGAGAATCAATACTATCCACATCCCAAATTACATGCAAAGAAAAGCTTGAAAATGGCAGCCCCAAACCTTTGTCATTTACAAACATAAAAATTATAAAATTTAATCAGCTTGTTTCAAATGCAAAGTTCAAGAATCCCAAACTCTGGGTCACTGAAAGCAGTTGTTGTTTTGGTCTATTTTTGATATCATTAATCACCAAACTACATTCTAATATATCTTCAGTTTCAAAACCAAACAAGTCACTTAAAAATGCGCTTGTTGATAAATTATACTTTTTCTTACATAAATTGAAATGAAGGTCATTTATGAGAAAAAAGCAAAAGCTTGTTTATGTACATTGTAAGATGACAATGTTGAACCCTCTAATGCAATCTTTAATAAATTGATACAGAAAAATGAGAGGATGAGAGTCAGAAATGACTGGCAAACATCATTGTGCACTGATCTCTGCCATGGGAACAAAGGAAAGATACCTCACCCAGGTTAAGAGAAAGAGAAGGGCAATTACATAAAGGGACAAATGAAGGGAGACACAAAATGGTGTGATGGTAAGGGAACGCATGGTTCAATATTGCTGGAATGTGAGGGTCAAGTGTGGCAAAGGACGTGGCAGGAAATGCAGCCGACTGCGAAGCTGAAGCCAGGTCACAAAGGGCCTTGTGCACAGGCAGAGGGACTCAGACTTTATCCTTGCAGGCCAAGGGTTTCTCAGTCTAGTCAGGTGTCAACATCTCTTAGGGAATTTAAAAACAAAGCATCCAGTCCAGCAGCTCTACAGAATCAGAATCTGCAGCACTCGGACCTGCTATACAGAGACAGATTTAGGGGCGTCCTGCCTCTCGGACTCTGATGAGAGGCTGGAGAATATCTGCGCAGGACTGAGAGACTTTCACACAGAGCAGTGACTAAGTCAGGTGCCCATTTCTGCTGGCCTTGGAAAGGTAGATCCAACGAGATCAAAGCATGGAGCTGACTTGCGTCTACTGCAGTAATGCAGGTGACAGATGGCGAGGCCTTGAATCAGGACAGAGGTAGTACAACTGGCGGAGTGGGCTGGACTTGAGGCCTATCTTGGGACTGAAATGAGTAGAACTTGGTGTCTGACTGAAAACCTAACATGACAAAGAAGCCAAGGATAACTAGGTTTTTAAAATTTAGGTGACTGAGTGACTGGGGTAAGAAATGTGAGAAATGAGGAAAAGAATCTCTCTTCCTGCATGTTTGATTAATTTAAGGTCCCAAGGATAACGTCCTGAAAAGCCCTCAGAACCAGTGATTGTCGCTATTGCTTTGTGCTCAC